ATTATGAAAACATTTTCTGTCAGGTTCCTGCATTTTTCCACGCACATGCCAAAACACTTACATTCCCTCTCATCAAGCTTTTTTTTCTCCCTCAGCCTTTTCAGAAGAATTTCCTGCTTTTCAGCAACTCCTCTGTTGCTCTAAATATCTTGTGTGCAAATGCCATATCCTTAATTCTAACCTGAAGTGGATTTGTAAAGTGGAAGCAAATTTCCTCTCTTTTCTGTTTTATTCTTGCAAATGGATCACTCAGACGAAGAGCCTACCACTTGGCAAAGTTTTCACATTGCTATCCTGTAAGTCTTCCCCAAATTTAGCAGCTCTTGGCCTATCCAGACTGTATCCTTACAGGCCTATCCAGGTTAAGGACACAGTTCCACTGACATGCATCTTGCTGGCCTCTGTGCTGGTTCCCTTCCTTCTCAGGGATCATTTTGCCCTGAACTGTTATTGACTGTCTGGGTGTCATGACCATGGTCTCTCAGCTGTTTTGCAATCCTATGTGCAAGGGCTGTCCCTCATCTGCTCTCTCAGGCTCCAAAAGCATCAGTGCTTGGTCCTGGAGGCCTTAAATCATCCCAAAGGCAGCAGCAGCAGCAGCTTTGTCTCAGAACTTGGCAATTCCCAGGCTCCTTGGTGCTCCCTTAGCCCAAATGTTTTTGCTAACCAGTCAATGATAGAGTGCTTACAGGGTTTTCATTCAGGCTGCTGTGGATGGGTCTTCCCAATCTTCTTTGCTCTTCCAGAGTGCCTGGAACTGGCAAACCCTCACCAACTAGGGTAAAGATTGATTCTCTTCACTAGTGCCATGACTCCCCATGGGTCATGTAAGCCACACAGCTTACAAATGCTACCACATTCATAAATAAATTGCCTTCAAATCACTCGTGGTCTCTAAAGGCCTGATAGGTGATGCACAGTTGATACGCAACATCGCATTAGCAAATAAAACATAGCATTTTTAGTCAAAAGTTTGATAATAAGGTTACACGCTAAGCTACAAAAAATGCTGAGGGAGCCACGGACCCATGCCACACAGGCTGCTTTGAGAAGACTCTTAGCTGTTGAGTTAAATGACCTTTTTCCCTTCCAAGAGAAGAAAACCAAGTACTGAATACCCTCTATGCTACCAATGCTAGAGCTTGATCTCTCAGTGCTGACATATCTTGTGAGACACAGCCCCAGGACTCCAAAAATGGGGATAACAGAGAAGGGCTGGTTAACAGCACAAAACCCTGCAATATGGATAATGAGAGCATTTCCTTCTGAACGTTCTCACGCAATCTATCTGACCTTGGGATGTACGGGCTTCAGGGAACGGTTACATAAATGAGCACGGCAAACACCAAAGGGAACGGAATTAGACAGACAGACCACACAGGCCCAAGTGAATTAGAGCACTGCTTTCATAGCACTGTTTACATTTTTTCTCTCCAGAACAAAAGGAGTCAGTAGGCATCTGTACATATTACAAGACAAATTGCAGAGCAGCTCAAATCCCCATATCATCTCTTTTGATAATTGTCATATATGTCTGCTTTTTGAGCATTTCTTATTGGAGAAGCCATGAAGAGCTGAATAGTAATGCAGAGAAATTAGTAGAGCAAGAAGGATAGAAGATAGCAGGCAGAAAGAAGAGGGAGGGAAGCTCAATGCAGGCTTTCCTTACCACATCCCTTCACTTCAGACTAACACTGCCTACTTCTGAGAAACATCCTTGAGACCTTTTGCAGTAATTCTTGAGCATGTCATCAGATTTACTTTTTAATTGAAAGACTCATGAAACTATTTCAAGGGACTGACTCTCAGTTACTTCATTTCTGCTTCCTAGTTGGGCTTAAAGCAGCTTTTAAATCTCATGTTTTGCACAGTCTAGCCTGCCCAGCACATCGTGCTGGGCAAGATTACAGAACATTTTCCTTGCTGAAAGCCAAACAGATGTTTGAAATACATTTGGTGGAACATATACATGCATCTCAGTGTTTTTCTCAAAATAATAGCTAACCCCTGCACCCCAAACCCAACAGCCCAGAGTTAATGAGAAAATGTGAAATTAAACCCTAGTCCATATTTAGCCCCCATGACACAGGTCCTAAATGCCTGCTGTGACCCAGGCATCTTCCAAGACAACTTCCAAGTCTGTACAGCCATCCTATTAAACTTTCTTACCCCCCAGAACAGGGAGACCACATTGTGCTGCAAATGGCACCTTGCTTATGCTAAATTCTGAATGGTGAGTTACCTGCAGTACTGTTAGGTGGTCTGGGCCAAAACCATCCAGAAGATTTTCCTCACAATTTACCAGTCTGGGCAATCGAGTTCTACTGTCCAAAACATTTCCTAGTGTTAATTTACGAGCATGGATGTTCACAGTTTCTCTTCGCCTCTGTTTATGGAACCAGAAATACCCTCAAATTCCCAGATTCAGATCGATGTTTTCACTGAAGTGGGACACATGCATACAGCAGGTCCTCCTGAAGACTTCAGTTTAAAGGAAAGAAAACAGATGAAAAACAGGATAGCAAAGGACAGTCTTGGTGGACTCCAGCTCTCTGGTATTCACACTGCAGCTCTTGACATGCACAGCCCCAAAAGCAGCTCTTTGCTGACTGGAGGGTTTCCAGGAAACTAGTCCATCCTTGGCTTTTATAGGGCCATAAAGGTGTACTAGAGATGAAGGTCATAGGCTTTTCAGGTAAAAAAAATATTCTAAGATAGCTATAACCATACACTGATAAGTATATTCAGGAGCATAAAGGAAGATGTTCTTAAAATAAAAATGACACTGTCAGCCTTAATTCAAAATAACAAATAGATTAGGTTTGTCATAGTTTCACAGAGACGTATTTATGAGACAAACTTTACAGCCTAGGAAAATCTACCAGCATACTTGGCACAGGGAGAAAGGGCTTTCCACAATGTTTTTATTTATTCTCTTAGTCTGGACCTTCCCTAGTTCTCTTAAAATCTATAGGCGCCTCATTTTGGACATTGACTGGAGCTGGACCAAGAAGCGTGGCTCTAATTTTCCCACTTCCAGAGCACAGAGATGACTCTGCCCTGTCTGACTAATCATCCACCTTAATGACTGCCTGCCTATGTAGCTTTTGCTCTTCCTCCTAGCCCACCCCAGTTGTCTGTAGCACCTGAGAAATACTGCAGTTCACTTACCAGCAACCCAGCACCAGAAGGGCTCTGCTAATCGCAGGGTCCTTGTTTAGAGCCCTGGTCAAAGCGCCGCAAGCCTGTCCCTGTGCTCCCCAAACACCCTTGGGCACGGGCGCCCTCACACTACAGCTGTTAAGCACCAATGATTGCCATGGCCAAAGGCCAGGGCACAAGCGATGCAGGGAATTTCGGCAAAGTTGACCGTTGAACTAAGCAATCGTGACGGAATTTCACACTCAGTCTCATTTCTCATTTGCCAAGGAATAATGATTTGTTAGGAATGACGTCCCAACTAGGTGATGGCTCTCTTCCTTCTCAAAAGGCTTTCTCTCAGTAAAATATGAAGACACTGGTAGCAATTACAGAGCATTTTTTTGTTATAATGAGTAGGTTGTTAGGAATGACGTCCCAACTAGGTGTTGGCTCTCTTCCTTCTCAAAAGCCGAAAATGCCCTGTATTTAAGTCATATCTGCTTTGCAAAGAAGAGGTAAACTACATAAGAATGAGACAAATGAAGTGATCGAAAACACAGTAAAATATGAAGACACTGGTAGCAATTACAGAGCATTTTTTATAATGAGTAGAAAAAACAGCCTAATACAGTGTATACTAGAGTCCCTCAGTTTTCATGAAATCTTTCACTTTCTCAGTACTTCAGTAGCTACCAGTTTAGGCCCCAAATACCCTCAAAATATTTAATTTTAAACCTTAAAATCATCCTAGAAATTATATTCCTAATGAGTAAAATATTTAAGCAGGTGCTCAAATCGAGCTGATTGGACAAAATGTAAACACATACATGAGTTCTTGGATTGGGTGGACTAAGATCCCCTTCAGTCATCATTCAAGTCCTCCTGCTGGGGTGAATTAGATCAGAAAAGCAAATGCTAAGATTTCTGCAAAGGAATCTTAAGCTTTTAATCTTAATCAGAGTTTAACTATTCATTTCAATAGAGACAGCATTTCCTTTACAGGAAACCTGAATTTCCCCCATGCAACTCAGAAGTGAAGCTGATAAAACTCCCTCCCACATAAAATGCTGTAATGCAGGGAAAGTTTGTGTGCTGTAATGCTGTAATGCAGGGAAAGTTTGTGTCCTGACCTCTAACACAATATTGACCTGAAATACTGGTCAAGGTCCCAGCCCCTCCCTACAACACGCATTAAGCTATAAAATATCTGCAAAACTGAGTCGACTCCAATGTTTTTTCCCACGCAAGCAGAAACAATTAGCAGATTAGCAGGGAAGCAGATTAATATATGCAGAAGCACACTGAATTTCTTAGATAAAAACACTTTGAGTTTCTTAGATAAAATATACTGCAAAAAAAAAAAATGGTCCAAGCCATTATTTTTAAATTGCAAGCTGGACTGAAAGTAGAAAGAACAAAGAGGAATGGATTAATTGCTACATTCATTTCTTAAAATTCATAAATAGATAAATACTTGTAGTTATTTAATTTGGCAATAGCTACAGCACTCTACAGTAGCAAACCAAACAGACTGACAGAGGCCAGAAAAAAATCCCTGCAACAAAGACATAAGTGGTAGACAAGCTTTAAATTTTGTTTAGGATGCTTTTCTCTTAGAATTGTAGACATATCTACATATGATATCCCAACCTGCTCTTAACAGTGCCAAATTTACTTAAATTATCCAAATAGCTACATAGAAGAGAAATTAAAAGGAATACGGAAGAGACTGCATCTTGTGGTACTATTAAGAAATAAGAACTTTAAACAAAACCAAAGAAATATCTACAATTGGAGTTGTATTTGGTTAACTGGTCTTTTTTATAAGACGGTCATTTTCTTTTTTCTTTAATGTAAAGGTTAACATCTGAATATCCTGGACACTATGGAGAAGATATGGACATGATGATGTACTCTTATGACCATTACATTCGTGGTGCAACTACAACTTTCTCTGCTGTGGACAGGTTTGTTTTTTAGCTCTGTTTTACTGTAGATTCTTTTTTAAAAAAGCTCTCCCTTCCCTATTTCCCCCAAGCAGTGATGCATGGCTACAGATCATCATCTGAGGATTCAGCATCAGGCTAGTACTTCTGAAGAACAAAATCTACAAGGCATGTGGCTAATTTTCGGGGGTGGTGTACAAGGAAAAGGACATCTTCATGCACTGTAGGACCACCTGCCATATCCATCTGAGTATGAAAAATACAGTAGTAGCAGGCTAGCTGGCTGAACTTGAGCTCCACAAAACTTAACAGAGCTTCAGTTTGTTTCCCCCCTACGTCTAGTCACAGCATCCTTTTTCTAGCCTTGTTCAACCTGGAATGCTCTGCCCTTTCAGGCAATGAAGGGCCTGAAAAGTCTAAACAGATGTCAGGCCACACGAGGAATTAGAATTAATGCAATGCACACTTATTCCTTTCTAGGACTTCACAACTGTGAAGTTGTAAAAAGTGGACTACACATAAACCCAACAGTGTTGTCTGTCCAGGACTACAGAGATCCTAATGCTGCAGGTCTAGGCAATGTGTGAACACTCACACAGAAATGTGTGAGAAATGCTGTGAGCATTTCATAGAAATCTAAATGCGGGAAGAGAGCCCTGGCTCTTTTATCTCTCGCTGACCTCTAATTTATCAACCATGAGAGCTGTTTTATTACTGATTTTTTCTTCAGACAGTCCTGTATATTAAAACATTTGTTATCAAATACAGCATAGACAGCAAGTCAAGTGCACTGCACCAGCCAGTTGTTGCCAAGAGTGGCTGCGAAAGAAGAGGAGACAGGGGAGGGAGAAATGGGGCTTCAGACACACCAATATTTAGAAGTGCCTCCAATGCCATCCAAAGGAGTTGAGGTGTTTTGGTCACTCTGATGTTCTCAGCTTGCTGGAGCTCACTAGGGTTTGCCTGAACCAAAAGACTACTTAAAATAAGGAGGCCTTTCCAGAAATGATAACACACTGTCACACTGCTGCAGATCAAGAATTTGTAATTTTCTGACTAAAATTCATTATCCTGTTTAATATCAACTGGAAATTGCATGAACAGATTGTTCATACAAGTGGAAGAATAGCTTTCATGGTTAGTGGACACAAAGGTATCTTCCCTTCCTGTAGATAAAGACACAAGGCTGCAGTGTATTTCCCTATACTGGAATTTTCTCTAATATATTCCTCAGTGCTGCTATTTTACCTGTTTTTTCATAGCCCTTGCAGAGAGCAGGGCAGATACTGTAGACAGTGTACTCTCTGCAGCTGGGTTCCAGTCACACCTGATATGGACCAGGATAATGTCATGAATCACACACGTGTCTGGAAAACAGCAGTGTAGGCAACCAGTGTCACTGACAGACACATATGTCACACAGCATGACAGTGTGGGACTGGCCAAGAGCAGAGCGAGCATCACGGGAACATCAGGAGTACAAGTCCTCACAGGTTACAGGATCGCAGTATTTGGGAAGGGCAACAGCCACCACCATCTCTGTTCTACCACTGTTGTGATGCTAGAGATGAACCTGCAATAGCAGCAGGTGAAACCTATGGAGAAAAGACATTATCAGCATGATCTGGGAAATTTTTCTGAGCTAATGAACTTGCTGGACTGCAGCTTCCAGAACAATTAAGGCCAGCTTGTTCCGTCCTAGTACATAAAATGAGAAGATTTCCTGTGATGCCAGCTTGGAATTCTGATCATGCAAAAACTCTCATAAAGAGCACGCATGTAGAGGTGCACAAAGTTTGTCTTTCTGAATGATTCTTCACAGCTGGCTGAGGCAGAAGAAAAGGAAGAACTGCTATTACCAGGCCCAGCCTGCTCAAGGCACACACATGCGCAGTTTGCCTGCATGCACATGCTGTACATTTTGAGCTTGCTTTCCATTTTCAAGCACATTAAACCTGTGTCTTTACTATTTACCCCATGTCAGGCAATACTCTTAGGCTAACAAGAAGCACTAAAAAGAGTATCTGGAGCTATTTTAGTGTAAGCTCTCCTAATCACACCAAGAGCCTTTGTTGAACCTCATGAGGTTCCTCTCTGCCCAACTCTCCAACCTGTTCAGGTCCCTCTGAATGGCAGCACAGCTCTTGGGAGCGTCAGCCACTCTTCCGAGTTTGGTATCACCCGCAAACTTGCTGGGTGCACTCTGTGCCCTTGTCCAAGTCATCAATGAGCAAGTTGAACAGCACTGGGCCCAGTACTGATCCCTGTGGGACACCACTGGCCGCAGGCCTCCACCCCATTTATCACCACCTTCTGAGCTCCGCCATCCACCTCACTGTTCACTCATCTAACCAACACCTCCTGAGCTTCCCCATGAGGATGTTACAGGAGATGATATCAAAAGCCTTGCCAAAGCCAAGGTAGACAACATCCATGGCTCTCTTCTTCCATCCAGCCCGTCATCCCATTGTATAAGGCTACCAGGTTGGTCAAACATGACTTTCCCTTGGTGAATCCATGCTGACTATTCCTGATCACCTTCTTTTCCTTCACATGCCTAGAGATGGTCTCTAGGATGAAGTGCTCCATATCCTCTACATCCAACCACTGGAGTTACCCAGTACCAAGGAGCCTAAACAGGGCATCTTCATTGTGCATGCTCAGCAAGACAGCACTAGCTTCCCTGAATCACCCCTATCTGTCAGGGAAAATGTAACATAAATTAAGCTAAGGCAGAAAATCATGTCAGGTTATAAGGTATTGGGCACTAAATCACTGGCCTCCACTGTTGCATCCTGCTGCTCCAGCCACGTTCCTTTTTGTTAAAGACTATTACTCGATATCACACTGCTCTCCTGAGACAGAATTAAAACATTCAAATAGTCACAAAGCAGGAAGAGCATAAACTGTGCTAACAAAAGTTAATCTGCCTCTCCTCTGGCTGGTGGAGATCAAGGATGAGATGTGAATTTAATTTCTTTCACATACTGATTCTTTCACATCTTTAATAAAAGTTAGTAGCTAGAGGAAAAACAGGAATGATTTTGCTATGTGGACAACTTCCCACTAAGAAATATCTTGAAGCTCATCCCTGCATTTCACTTTGTACATATTTTGGAGCAAAATAACACATGACAGTGACTTTTGACTAGAATCATCCTTTCCCTCTTGGTTTCCTTTCTCTTTAAAGCTGATTCAGGACTGATCATCTGATCAAGAGTAACTGTCTTCTGCGAGATACTTAGGTGATTTTCCTGTCTTGTTGGGGAGTAGGAGGGAATCACAACTTGTGGACAGAGTTAATCTGCTTCCATTACACACAAAAAACCACAAAGCGCTCAGAGGAAAGTCAGGCTAATGGCAGACAGATGTCTCTGCTGATGTGATATCTGATGCAGAGCTGTTCTTCCCTGTATAGTCTTATCCTCTGCAGTTGCCCTTCGTTGTCTCATTAACACCTATGTCTTGTCTCTCCTCCTATGCAGGGACCGTCAGTGGAAATTCATCGTCTGCAGGATGACAGAATATGACTGCCCATTCCAAAATGCTTAAAAAGATGGAGTATCTCAAACTCGGAAAGCTGGGGTGGGATGAGGGTGGATGATTATGGGAGAAAGCCAACTAGGTTCACCAAAACAGTACCCAGACTCATCAGCTGTCTGCTGAAGATATAATTCTTCTTTGCCTCTGGAGCTATTAAATAAATTGCCATCCCACATGCTTGCAACAGCAGTTTTGAAGAATTCCCTCAAGCTGCACTGGCAGTTGCATCCTCCAACTAAAATTGCTGGTGACATACACATTTATGACACACAAGTCTATAACAAATGCACAGTTACCTTATATATATATATACACAAATATATATATACAGCCATTCTGAAAACATACAACTTTCACACGGCACCTTTGTATAAATTGCTTCCTAGAGAAAAGTCACTGCAAATTAGGTGGAAAAATGCAATAGTCTTCCCTATCTTCTGCTTTTACTTAGAAACCAGTGATCTCTACCAGCTTCCCAGCATTTAATAGCTAAGAGTGTGCTGAAAGTGGTACCAGTAGGTCCTGACACACTGTATTTGTGGTTACCTGTTCCAGCTGTCAGGACAGCTGCACTGCAACAGATGCCTGTCTACACATGGGAATGTCAGCTATCTACAGTAAGGAAAGATGTTAGTAGCTGATTAAAATGAGAGTAGATACTTCAATAAAAACAGAAGCCTAAGCCAGCTTTACTGATATTCCAAGTCTCTTTCGTTTTGCCCTAAAAGTTTTCAATACCATAACTACCCCGAGAGTATCAACCTGGGCAAAGCCAGGGTGAGCCGGGCCACACTTGCTCTCAGGAAATGTGTATGCTGTACCCATGAGGAGTCTGCTTTTCAGGTGCACTGGGCTATCACCACAGGTGCCTGCATGACAATATCTTGCCTTAACAACATATTCTTGGCTCAGGTCAGACAAGTAAAACTAATGACTTCAGATCACCTCTGTTCCTCTAACTTGCAGATCCCAGTCCCTGTAAAGGATGATTTGACCAGGTTTCAAGACAGCACAGCACTTGTGCAGCTGTAATCCAACAAGACAGACCACTGACATCTTCTGGGAAGATCTGGGGTAGGACTTTTATTCTTGAAGAAGTCAGAATTCAGGGCTTAGTTCTTTATCTTGTGAAGACAATGACAAACTTATGGCAGCTTCCGTGGTACCCTCTCAAGGATTGTGAGGAATCCATGCCCCAATTTCAGATTCTAAGCTTCACAGGAACAGTGGTGTTGGTCAGTTGGTTTCCATGTGCCAAGCATTTTTAATATATTTACCAGTATACCCTCAAGCGTGAGCATTAAAACTACACTTGTCCAATAAAAGAATAATAGGTTTTGCACTGCTGTAGCCTTGTTCTTTCTTGATTATACTGTTCCTACAGTAACTCATTAACTTGCACACCAAAACCCCTCAGCCACTCTCAGAGACCATGAGGGTAATTGGGAAGTGTGTGTGACAGTTGCTGAGACAAGTAAAGTACCAGCAGTAAGGAGCAGTTAAGAGGCCCAGGGAAGCAGGAAAAACTTTTTAGTGAACATTGTTAGGCAAAGGAAGGCTATAAACAAGACAGTACTGGAGAAGAATAAACTCACCGCTGAGGAATTTGGTAGAAAAGCATAGGCAATATAATTAAGAAGGTAGGGATCATCTCTGAAAACACCTGCCCTAGATGGACTCCAAAGAATTATGTGGCATATCCTTCTCCCTATACCAGCTATAACATGACCATTTAGGCTGCTCTCAATGTGCGTGCATGCCATGTCTAATACAAAGGTGTTGTAGGCTCATGGAGGCTTCTGAGGAAACAGCTCAAGATAAGCTTACCCTGATCTAGATAGTGTGATGGAAGGGAGCAGTTCTGCTCTCTCATCCCCTGGAGCCACATTTCATTTCTGCTCTTTACCCTCTTCTAGCCCTACTGCTCCTGGAACCACACAGTCACAAGGATATCATATAGCTCATCAAGAAACAAAGAAATGAAAAAATTTTTTGCTTATTTTCTGGTAGCATTAGTTTTCAACTGCATTAGGCCTCTGAGCCTGCTGACTCTGCAAACATGAATATGCTCCAGCAGCACCGTGCAAGGAAAGGGGGTTATCGGAGCTGGTGGTCATCTCCAGGCACTGGTCATCTTAAGGTGGATGTGAAACCCCTTCTGCAGTATTTCTTTAACTTAGTCAATATTCATATCTGCTGCTGACATGCACACTTTGAAGAAATGATCCTACAGTTCTCTGCAAATATTGAAGGTATCAAGGCATCCCGTTCCCACTGAAACAGCCTGAATGAAGCACCTCCTTCCTTCCTGCAAATTCTGGCTGTATGTGCTCTCTTCAGCCCACCTGCAGTATGGCATCGCTCAGGTTTATGGGCTACTCCTTGCAGCACACTTTTATGAGGCAGATTTAGCTCTTACAAAGCTCTGGGATAGACAAAAGGAATGGCTGAGGTGGAAGACATTTCGTCACCATGCAATTTGCCACAACAGATTAGCTGGAGGTAACTGAAACCAGTATCTGCACACCTGTTCTCTCTCTTTCTCAAAGTTACGCTTTTTCCTTCGGCAGTGGAGGAAGTCACCCGGGGATGTGCAAAGATCACTCTGTGAAGCATTTTGGGCTAGACATGGTGCACAAACCACACACGCACACAGGCAACTTCCATGACTCCTGATGGTCCCTTGTTTGGAAGGATTCAACATTAAGCCAATTCTGTTAATTCAGAGAGGTTTTCTCATCTCTAGACAGGCAGAGTTTAGGTAGACTGCAGTCACAGAACAAAAGTCAAATTTTCCAGAGAGAAGCACTTATTAATTAAGTACTGCGCTCCTGAGTTGAAGCAAGGAGGCAAGAAAGAAAGAGAGAAGCTTTAGATAATCCTGACAGTTTCAGACTAAGCTGTGGTCATTTAGTCTATCCTGTATAATTTTCACCTTTGTGAGGATGACTCTAATTCACACCTTGCTATTGAGCAGGATAATAACCCTATTGCAGTTACTCTTACTCTAGACAAACCTAGTCAAATCTAGACAAATGAAATCTCTTTTGCTGGTTTTGCAAAACTATGGAAACTTCCCAAATACTCCCTCTTCAGCACTGTTACTACTCCCTTTGCTGTCTCACCAACAGAAGAAATATGATCCTTAAGAGTCAAGTCATCATCATCATCATAGAATCATCATAGAATGCTTAAGGTTGGAAGGGACCTCTAGAGATCATCTAGTCCAACGCCCCTGCACACACAGGGTCACCTAGAGCACGTGGCACAGGACTGCGTCCAAGCGGGTTTTGAAGATCTCCAGAGAAGGAGACTCCACAACCTCTCTGGGCAGCCTGTTCCAGTGCTCTGTCAACCTCACTGTTAAGAAATTTTTCCTTAAGCTCCTCTGGAACTTTTGATGCTTCAGTTTGTGGCCATTACCTCTAGTTCTGTCAGTGGCCACCACTGAAAAGAGGCCAGCACCATCCTCCTCACTGCCTCCCTTGAGATACTTATAGACCCTGATTAGATCCCCTCTCAGCCTTCTCTTCTCCAGGCTGAACAGGCCCAGCTCCCTCAGCCTCTCCTCACAGGGCAGATGTTCCAGGCTCCTGATCATCCTTGTAGCCCTGCGCTGGCCTCTCTCCAGCAGCTCCACATCCCTCTTGTACTGTGGAGCCCAGAACTGGACACAATACTCCAGATGTGGCCCCACCAGGGTAGGGTCTGAGTAGAGGGGCAGGATCACCTCCCTCGACCTGCTGGAAACGCTCTTCTTAATGCACCCCAGGATCCCATTGGCCCAGGATATTTCCTTTAACCAAGGCAACTCCCTCTTGTTGTCACATAGCTTCACAGGTCCCAAGCAGGGGCAGGGACATACTCCACCTCTCCCAGTCTTCCACCTGCAAATACGTGCAGTAGCCCCTGGATGAGTGAGTGCCCTCTGCTTTCTGTTCTCTCATGCTATATCGTCCCATGTTTCCCCTTTCTGCCTCTCCCCTCGCCTCCTTCCTCCCACACTGCTAACTCTATTCCCAGCAGTGCCCTAGCAATGCATTGCAGTGGGTCATGCATTTCACAGGACTCCTCTCCAGAGGGCTGCGCAATTTGCAAAAGAGGAGAGGCAGGGTGGGAAAATACGGACAGGCCGAGATAGAGGAGGAACAGTTCCGGTGTAGTCCTAGGACAGCAAGTCAGCAAAGCTGCAAACGGAACTGAATTTTTATCTATGCTGCAGGATTCCACCTCAAATGTCTGGATAAGCTTTCAGAGTGGGAAGGTATCGGTGAAGCTGATAAGGTTCAAGCCTGAGTTCCCCAGGCAGAGCAACACCATGGTGAGCCTGCTTTGCAAAAGTTCTCTGACTTCATAAACTTCAAAAATGGATCAAGCCAACTTTGAAGTGGATCAAGCCAATCTGAAAAAGAGAGAATCTCAAACTGCTTAGGACACCTTTATTATACAAAAAAAAAAAAAAAAAAAGGCTTGAAGCACGTTTTGTTCATGCTAACACAAATCAGATGCTATCGCAGTGAAATGAACAGTTGCATCCGTGCAACTAAGAGCAATTGCACTGTTTGGGGGAGCCCACAGCACTTCTTCACTTTCATATGTTCTGTGGCACCGAAACGTCCCATCCACACTTGCAGCATAAGGTGCAATGATCCCCCTGATCTGAGAGCCTGCACAGGACCTATGCATCACTAAAGTCCCACCTAAGTCTAACATTTTAAATCACCCTTCATGAATACAAATACCAGCAAATAAAGCCTTATTTATTTAATAAATAACAATCATACATGTTTAATTCAGAGACTTGGGAGAAAAGCGCTCCTTGGTAAACAGGCAGCACTGCTTCAGTCATTCTACTAGGTGTGCAGATGGCAAATGGCCAGCATGATCAGTGGTTCTTTTAGCTAGTTATTTGCAATCACAAAAGAAAAAGCAGGAAACTTAATTAATAAATAAATAAGTAAATAAATAAAGCAGAATCCTTGAGTTTTTCTAACTCTTAATAGAAAAGTGAAGAAGCAAAAGGTAAGAAGTGTTAAG